AGAGAGAGAGAGAGAGAGAGAGAGACAGAGAGACAGAGACTAGTAAACAGCACCCTCCATGGCCTCTGCATCAGTTCCTGCTTCCAGGTTTCTGTCCTGTTTGAGTTCCTGTCCTGAGTTCCTTCAATGATAAACAATAATATGGAAGCATAAGCCAAATAAAACTCAAATAAACCTTTCTTCCCCAAGTTGTTTTTTGGTCAAGGGGTTTTGATTTGTCACAGCAATAACCCTAGCTGGGATAGGGGGTGGCATTAGTGTGTGGAATATGGAATTGTAACAGGTCTGACATAAATAAAGATGTAGACTAGTTTCTCTGTGAAACAGTCCTGGCTATCCTGGAACTCACTCTGTCGGCCTCAGGCTGGCCTCAAACCCACAGAGATCCACCTGCCTCTGTCGCCCAAGCACTGGGATTAAAGGGGTGTGCCACCACCGCCTGGCCTAATAAAGATATTTCAAAGAGACACTTGTGTCTTTCACTCTATCAGAATAGTGAAGCAATGGACCCCCAAGAAATGGGAATTTTACCCCCCACCACTTTGGAGGCAGAGGCAGGTGGATCTCCGTAGTTTTGAGGGCAACCTCTACAGAGCAAGTTCCAAGATAGTCCGGGTTACACAGAGGAAACCCTTTCCCCAGGAATCTCATGCTGGAAGAAGGTGCCATTCAGAGCACTCAGAGAACTTGTTCCAGGGTACGAGATCCCCACGGTTCTAACACTGTCAGACCACTTTACAGACAGCGATGGCTGAGTGGTGGACGATGCATATCTTTGGCTCTCTACTTAACCGTGGGGCTGGAGAAATGACTCATGGTTAAGAGCACTTTTTTCCTTGCAGAGGCCCCAGGTTCCATTCCCAGTACCCACATGGTAGCTCACAACCATCCGTAACTTCAGTTCCAAGGGAATCCATGCCCTCTTCTGGCCTCTGCAGGCACCAGGCACATATGAAGTGCACAGACATACATGGAGGCAAAACACTTGTGAAAAACATAAAATGAAAAATAAAATCTATAATAATTATTTGAAGGCGTAAGTCACAGACAATCCCACACCAGTTTGGAATTATGATTAATAGAATGGTTATTTATTCAAAGGGGAAAAAACTTACAGATTACCGTCCCAGACAACAGCCCCTCCGCAAGCTAGGAGCCGGAAGCGGAGCCGCAAGCCAGAGAGAGTGTGGAGGACAGCTGCTGTTTTTTTTTTTTTTAAAGAGAGAGAGACCACGCCCCAATGGGCTGGTCTCTCAGCGGCTATTGGCTGAAGGAGCGCGGAAGGAGCTCCCGCAGCAATTATTATAGATTAATTAATTAAAGATAGACTTGAGGGGAGTCACTGGATCTCTTTGTCCTTCTTCCCAGTGTGCATATATTGAATGAGGCGCTTTTTGTTATTTTTTTACTGTGACTTTGACTCTTCTAATTGGCTTCTTGAGGAAGGCTAGTCAAACTTGACTTCTTGGAGTAAAGCCTGTGATCTTAAGTTTGGTAACAGGAGAGGAAGCTGAGAGCAGCGGAGTCCTGCTCCCTACTCCCGAGAACCGGTGTGTGTGCATAGCCATGTGCTTGGTTCTCCTGGGTGTGTGTGGAGTCTGGAAGAGCAGCAGAACGGCTGCGCACTGCTATAGTGGGGCCTTCCAGCAGGCTTCCCAGCATCCTCCATTCCCCACAGGGTTCCAGTTCCCTCCTATCCTCCAGACTGCCTTTTGCAGATCAGGCCTCAGGACTGGAACATGACTGCGGGGACCACACTGTGTGAAAGGTCACATGCACTGTCAGGGACAGGACTCCTTTGCCACTATAATCCCTTAAGAGTTGAATAGGTGACATTCTGACGAAAGGCTTGGACGGTCTTGAGTAGATTTTATTGAGATGAAGTGTTGTGCACGGCTCACCTTCCACAGCACATCACAAACAACATCCCACCCAGATCAGAAAAGCCTAGTTTTCATGAATCCATGTCACAAAACAGAAGAAAGAAGAGAGTCTAGTTCGATAATGATGTTCTAATTTTTTATTTTTATTTTATTTTGTTTTCATTTTTGAAGATAGGGTTTTACTGTGTAGCTCTAATGTAAGTCCCGCTCTCGGGCCGGCCTCGATCTTTGGAGACCCTGCCCCTGTTGCCCGCCAAGCCTTGACCCCTCCTCCGGAGAAGGGTCAAGACAGCCCACCAAAATCTTGACCGCTCCCCCAATCTATTTAAACTGCTCCTTCAGAAAGTCTCTTCGAGGTCTTTCCCCCC